CCCGCACAAATGCACTTTGGTGGTTGCCCACGAGAAGCGGCAGGTCATCTGCGAGGCGGGTGGAAAGTATCGTGTCAAAGATCTTGACCACTCCATGGTTAAGACTCACTAATCTGAAATCTTTGATGTCCACCGCCCCCACCTTCTTCGGCAAGAGAGAGACAGTGGCTCTATTAATTACCTTCATCCCCCTCATGTCTCCACACTGGAATTCTTTGAGCACCCTCATGAAATCATCTCTGATAATAGCCCAACATGTTGCGTAGAAACGTCGTGTGAACCCATCTGGTCCCGGTGCCTTGTCTAGTGGCATGTCCTTGATCACCTTCTCGACCTCCCGGGCAAAGAAAAGCGCGTCCATATGCGCCAAATCTCTCTGCGGTAGCCCTAGCACCTCCAGGTTTAAGGTGCAACTCCTCTCCGTGGTTAGCCCCAAGAGCCTTTTGTAGTATGTATCCACCGCTTGCGCAATATTTTCCTGGCCTGTGTATAGATGCCCCTCTGAGGTGATGGAGAGAATTATGTTCTTCCTCTGCCTATGACTAGCTTGCCGATGGAAAAAGGCAGTGTTGGCTTCCCCTTCCTTAAGCTGCAAGAGCCTAGAGCACTGTTGGGCAATGGATCTCTACAGCGAACATAACCCAAGGAGTTTCCTCTTCAGGGTTTTGTGCAGCTCATACTCTATCATCTGAAAGGGCTCTCGAGTCCATTGCCACGTCGAGCCGGCCAATGACTTCCAGTACAATCGCGATTTGCATTCTCATGTTGCCTATCCACCTATCACTCCATCGTTGCAGCGCCTTTGCAGTGGCTCTCAGCTTGTTGTAGAGCACGACAAAAGCATTGCCATCCGAGGCAATCAAGTTCCAAGCCGTCTCCACCGTCTGGAAGAAGCCCTTAGCGTTAGGCCAGAACTGTTCAAAACGGAATCATCTTCCGTATGCAAAATCCACCTTGAGGTCCAGGAGGAAGGGACAATGATCTGAGATCGTTGATCCCAAGGCCATAAGCAAAGCTGTCGGGTGCAAGTCATCCTAGTAGTTTGACATGAAGACCTGGTCAATTTTCTCCAAGGTTGGCCGCCTTCTTTCATTTGACCATGTGAATTTGCGTCCGTTCAGGTACATCTCCTTAACTTCCAATATGTTCGTTTTCCTCCGAAATCTGGCCAGCATCCGCCTGTTTACCACGTCATTTTTTTGTCTTGTGGATTGACTAGTAGGTTGAAGTCCCCCACAAAGGCCCATGGGCCAACGTGTAGGTCACGTATATCTACAAGTTCCTGCATGAACGCGATTTTATCTGTATCCGTTTGTGGGCCATAAACGCCCGTAATCCACCAGTGTCCCCCATTCTGCGGTGTGACTAGGGCCGAGACCGTGTTTATAGTGTATCATGGATTCGAGAGCCTCACAAAAGTTTCATCCCAAGCGAGCAAGATGCCTCCATGGGCCCCCATAGCCGGCAAGTAGAAGAAGTTCTCTAGTTTATTGCCAAGGCATTGCCTTACAATGTCTGGCATCATAGTTTCAATTTTTGTCTCTTGGAAGCAAACAATGGCTGGGTTTGCCGTCTCGACCACCTGGTAAATTGTACTACGCCGCGCAGGCGAATTTAGACCGCACATCCACACTAGAAGCTTGTATGGTTGCATATCCATGTCATTATCCTACCCTCCACAGACCACAGTCCCGCTACTG